AGTTTTAGTTCATCAGAAGAAATTAATAGCATAAATGTTCTATGTTAGTGTTTTTCTTTATTTATTATAAAAATGGGCTCTTAAAAATCAGTCTCACCAAAGTGCATTAGTGGAAAATATGTTCGACATTGATTGACAATTCCAGTTATGCTTTTTTTCACCATATTACGTAGTAATAAGTTACATTCAAATTAAATTTATTGTTCATTGGCGGCATCTTCTATGTGAAATGTTTTGATTCGTATGACAGTGTCGACAACGAATAAATTCATTCAATTTGAACAGCTTATCTCGATCATGAAGATATTCGTTCTTATTACGTCGATATTAATTGGTTTTCTTTGTGACCGATAGGATATTTTCATACACTATAATGATGTCATTCCTTATTTTTTGTTTAGTTCGACGTCTATCCTTTGTTGAATTCGACGTTTGTCTTTTTTTTCGACTGAACTTATACATATAGATATATATTAGTTGTGTTGTTTATCATAATCTATTTGGTTTAACATTGACTTGATTCAATTTCGTGTTCTTGTTTTGATAATTTTGGTTTTAGTACAATTCATCGATCATTTGTTTCAAGTGATTATATCGATTAGATTCAATTGAAGAATTTTGTTTGTTCAATTGATTATATCGATTAGATTCTATTGAAGAATTTTGCTTGTTCAATTGATATATTAATCTATTATATTTCATTGATAATTTGTGAAAATGTCACTAAATGACATGAAAATGAAAACTGGTCAAGTTGAATACTATTTATATCAAGGTGACACCACGAATGCATTAAAAGTATGTGACTTTTGATTTTAAATTGAATGTATACATAATATATTTTTGTAGGTACTTGGTGAAATAATTCAAGAATTGATGTCCAAAAAGGATTATGTTGTTGATAAACAGTTGAAAGATATGTTAGTAATGAGTTGTATTAAACGTATCAATATTAATTTTAAAGAAAAAAAAATATCCCGGTAAGAGAAAATCTTTTTTTTAAAGACAGTATACATTCTAAAAAAATTGTTTAACTGCTGAACCTTTTTAAGTTCTTCCTACCGAAGTTAAAAAAGTTCGGTAGCTTAACAATTATTTTTAGAATGTATAGTCCCGAATAAATACACTTATTTAAAATAAGTTTATTATATAAATTTGTCCTTTAGAAATTTATTATTCTAAATGTAGAATTAATTCGAATTTTTCATAAATTATGATTTGTTTTTGTTTTAGATGTCATCACAGATATCAAGATATTGAATTCGATAAAATATGATATTTATACAGATCAAAGTACTTTATTAATGTATCTGTAAGAGAAATTCTATTTCATTTTTCTTTAAGTTGTTTTTCAATTTTGTTTTTAGTGAATCAATAGCTAGTCTATGTAAAGAAAAACTGATTAGGTAGACAAATGTCGAAAACAAAATATCGACAAGTAAAAATGTCGACAGCAAAACGTCGACAAAAAAATGTCTATAGATAAAATGCCGACGTACAAAAATATGTCGAAAATTCTATCATGATATAGGAAAATCGCGTAGCATATGCTGTCATCTTTTTTTTTCTGTTGGTGCATTTTTTTTATGCGTGTTGGCCTGGACATAACTAAATACGAATTTTTTCGCATTTATAGTGAAATGTGCTTAACGAAATATTCTTTTCTTCTCGTTCTTTAGTAATCTATTTGTACAGTATAGACGAGAACGTTCTAGATGATTTACCTTGTTTCTTTTTCGTTCGAGGTAATTCTCGCCCTTCTCTCATATATAAACACTCGTCATTTGTGCACTTAACATCGTGGTAGTGTATTCAACACATTCTATCTTTTTCATTTCGTTCTAGTAGCATATTTTTCTTGATATGTCAACTGTTCCTAGTCTTAGCTTTTCGACCAGCAACAAACGTAAACCGATCTTAATATGTGATGAATTGTGTGTGAGTGCACTCTAAAAAAAAAAGGTTTCCTCGGAAACTGATACCCCTTCGGAAACCTTTTCGCAAACCTTTTTAGGTTTCCGGAAGGGTTTCCGAACTTATGTTGAGTTTCTGACAATACCTTGAGGTTTCCGAGCATCCGAAAACCAATGGATTTTGGAGAGAGCGGATTCGGAAACCCTCAACCGTATTCTCGGAAACCGCTTTTGCTTCGAAAACCTTTTCGGATACCCATTGCGTATCCTCGCATACCTTTGGGTTTTCGATATTTTTTTATCGAAAACCCTTTTGGGTTTCCGGGCATCGGAAACGGTCGAAGCGTTTTCTAGAAATCTAGCAAGGTTTCCGAACATAACTGGAAAACCCCTTAGGGTTTCCGAATGTTGCGAAAACCTTTGAGTTTTCGAGAAAAAGTTTCGAAAACCCATTAAGTAGTATGCAAAACCCGATTAGCATTCCAATATGATCTTTTTTATTCTCATGTTCTATCGTGTGATTTTCAGGTAAAGCGGTGCTCGATATGCATGACAT